CCACCACAGCCTCGACCTGCTGGGCTTCAGCAATCCTTCTGCCTCAGCCTTCCAAGTAGCCAGAATTACAGGCGTGCACTACCACGCCTGGCTCATTTTTGGTTTATTGTAGAGATGAGGTCTCACCAAGTTGCCCAGAGCGGGTCTTGGCAATCCACTCACCTCGGCCCCCCAAAGCATTGGGATTACAGGCTGAGCTACCGAGCCTGGCCGTATGATTTTTGAGATGTGCTTTTGGATCCAATTTGCTAGAATGTTGTTGAGGATTTTTGCATCTATGTTCATAAGGGATATTGGCCTGTACTTCTCTTTCTTTGTTGCATCTTTACCCGGTTTTGGTATCAGTGTAATGTTAACTTCGTAAAATGATTTGGGGAGAATTCCATCTTTCTCAGTTGCCTGGAATACTTTCAGTAGGATTGGTATCAGCTCTTCCTTGTATGTTTTGTAGAATTCTCCTGGAAATCATCTGTTCCAGGGCTTTTTTTTGTAAGTAGTTTTCGTATGACAGATTCAATTTCCTGGGTTGTTCTTGGTCTATTCAGTGTCTTGATGTCTTCTTGTTCAACTTGGGTAGGTTGTGTGATGTGAGAAAGTCTTCCATTTCTTCTAGGTTATCAAGTTTATTTCCATACAGGTGTACATAGTAATCCCTGATAACCTTTTGTATTTCTTTGGGGTCAGTTGTGATTTGATCTTCTTTTGATCTCTTAACAGTTGAGGTTATAAAACCCTTAGTGGCTGAAACAGATACCTCAAACAAAGCTACATTTGTAGTTGGTAACTCCTCCTTACTTGATATATCATCAGTACTGGCAACACAGGAAGCTGAAATTGAACTTCCCAGAGAGCCTCGGCCTAATGAAGAATGTCTACAGATACTTGAGAATGCAGAGGTGAGGACAACAACATAAACTGAAACTTGGCATTCTTTAAAAAGGAGTTTTTTAAAGGAAGGAAAAACCATGTTGCATGATTTACTGATGCTGTCTTTATTTATTCCCCCAGTCTTGAGAGGTGGTAGAATTATCTCCACTTTTCAGATGAGAAAGCTGAGGCTCCAAGAGATTTATGTAATTTCCCAAAGTGTTACATCTAGGACTTGGTAAAGCTGGGAGCAGGGTCCAAGATTTTCTCACTCTTTCTAGTTTATTACTGTTTATCACAGAGATGAGCAACTACTATATTCTTAAAACTCGTGTCAAGGCCTAGAAAGGGCTTAACACAGGTAAGTTTCAGACAGAAGAAGGTGTGTTTTTCTTCTATTTTGTAAGCTTGATGTTCATGAGGAAGCTTTCTTTCCTGCGATTTGAACAGGGTCTTCTGCTTCCATTCATGCTTTAGTGCAAATATCATGTTCCATCCATATCTGGTTTATTCTTTTTTTAAAATAAATATTTTTATATGCTTATTGGGAAAATGCACATTTCCCCCGGATTTAGTGAGGTTTACTTGACAAATAAAATTGCACATGTTTAGGGGGACACTTGATGTTTTGATATATGTTATACATTATGAATTAATCAACACAATCAAGCTAATAACATATCTGTCACCTCACATAGTTAGTTATACCTCTTTCTCTCTCATTTTTTCTTTGAAGATATTTAAGATCTAACCTCTTAGCACATTTGAAGTATACGTTATTGTTAACTGTAGTCATATTGCTGTACATTAAGATCTCCAGGCTGGGCTTGGTGGCTCAGCCTGTAATTCCAGCACTTTGGTAGGCTGAGGTGAGTAGATTGCCTGAGCTCGTGGGTTTGAGACCAGCCCAGGCAACTTGGTGAGACCTCGTCTCTACAATAAATAAAAAAAACATTAGTCAGGCGTGGTAGCGCATGCCTGTAGTTCTGGCTACTTGGAAGGCTGAGGCAGAAGGATCATCTGAGCCCAGCAGGCTGACGCTGGGGTGGCTGTGAGTGTGCCATGGCATTCCAGCCTGGGCGACAGAGTTAGACTCTAACTCAAAAAAAAAAAAAAAAAAAAAAAATCTCCGGAGCTCTTTCATGCTTCATCTAGACTATTTCTCCAATATCTCCCCGTTTTCTCTTCCTCCCAGTCCTTGGCAACCACAATTCTCCTCTCTGCTTCCATGAGTTTGACTATTTTAGATTCTATATATAAGTGAAGTAATGTATTTGTATTTCTGAGGTTAATTTTTAATTTTTAATTTATGTGCATGTAAGTGAAGGTGTATTATTTTCCTTTATCATTTCTTTTCCTTTATTCCTGTTAATGTGTGTATCAGTAATTTTGCTGTTTTGCTGTATGCAGGATTAGCAAAACATACAAGGTGGGTATAAGAATCTTAATTACGGGTTTTGTTTATGAACCTCACTTGGAAGTTTTAATGTTTTAGTCTTACGTTTATTTAGTCTTTACCATTTTTTCATAAATAATTTACTTTCAATTTGATATTCTGATTTCTGTGCAGATCATCTCCCTCTTTAGAAATCCAAAGCTCTTTCTTTCTCGTCACACAGTGCTTGTGTTTAAGCTGCTGGGAGCTGGTATCCTCACCTGGATTATATACTAAGGGCCAAGACTTGCACACAAAGGGTTATAAGTAAACAAATATTGATTGGCCTCCTTTGGTCACCTGGAGCAGGTAAATTTATGTTACAGCTGAGGTTTCAGGCCTGCAGCAGCACTGAGAGCTACCACCCGAGTCTCCTGCCTCTGGAGCCTGCTCTTTTCTCTGCTGTCCCCCAAAACAGGGTGGCACCAATGGGGACTGAATAGGCAAGCGAGGATTCGTGCTTTCCAAATTGGCATGTGCTGCTTTACTACAGATGAACCAGCTTAACATTGTGATCTTCCAGACATTGGCTTTTTCCCTTCCACTTTGCTACCGAGCCAGGATTGGCAGCTGAAGGGTTCTGTACATTTTCTTTTTTTTTTTTGAGTTGGAGTCTCACTCTGTCGCCCAGACTGGAGTGCAGTGGCCGCTCCCAGCCACCGCAGCCTCGACCTGCTGGGCTCCGGCGATCCTTCCGCCTCAGCCTTCCGAGTAGCTGGAACTACAGGCGCGTGCTGCCATGCCTGGCTAATATTTGATTTATTGTAGAGATGAGGTCTTGCCAAGTTGCCCGGGCGGGTCAGTTCTATATATTTTCATAAGAATATCTGAAGTTTGGAACTTCCAACTCTAAAGATAAAAAAGGTAGTCCATTGATAGGTTAGCTGCTAAATTTATCTGCACTCAGCATGAAAATTATTTTGGTTTGGCAGAATGCTGTGTACTTGAACATGTTTCATCTACATTCTTTAAAAATCATACACTTTTCAGCTGAACCTAGTCATTGTCTTACAGTTTCCAGCTCTGGGTTCTTGTCACCCGTGATAATCTTTCCCGCTCCAGGTGTTTATACCTTTAGGGCAATGCTATGCATCTTATATGAAACCTACCTCATTTCCTCCACAAACAAGTAACCTTTCTCTTCTAAAGCTCTCTCTATGTACTGTGTACTTTTTTTTTTTTTTTGAGTTGGAGTATCACTCTGTTGCCCAGACAGGAGTGCAGTGGCACACTCCTGGCCACCATAGCCTTGACCCTCCCGGGCTCCAATGATCCTTCCACCTCAGTCTTCCAAGTAGCTGGAACTACAGGTGCGCGCTACCACGCCGGGCTAATTTTTGATTTATTGTGGAGATGAGGTCTCGCCAGGTTGCCTGGGCAGGCTTTGAACCCGCGGGCTCAGGCAATCCACTCACCTCAGCCTCCCAAAGTGTTGGGATTACAGGCTGAGCCACTGAGCCCGGCTTGTACTGTACACTTTTAATGACAATTGTACTTTTTTACCTGTATCCCGTGTTTACATGACGCTCTCCATTATTAGACATCAAGCTCTTAGAAGTCAAGTTCAGGCCGGGCTCGGTGGCTCAGCCTGTAATCCCAGCATTTTGGGAGGCCAAAGCAAGTGAATTGCCTGAGTCCGCAGGTTTGAGACCCCCCCCGGTAACTTGGTGAGACCTCGTATCTACAATAAATAAATAAAAAACTAGCCGGGCGTGGTAGTGCACACTTGTAGTTCCGGCCACTTGGAAGGCTGTGGCGGATGGATCACTGGGGCCAGCAAGTCGAGGCTGCGGTGGCCGGGAGTATGCTACTGCACTCCAGTCTGGGTGACAGAGTGAGACTCCACAACTCAAAAAAAAAGAAAGAAGTCTAGTCCATTTCTTGAGAAGGCTTTGAATCTCATAGGAGTTCAGTAAATTTTAAAAGAATGGATGATTTGCATTGCTAATATACCTACTAGCTAATGTTTATCCAAATATTCTTTGGAAAAGTTAGGCTGATATTAATGTTTGCAAAGAAGATCCTTGAATAAACTCATAGAGGAGTAGTCACAAAATTTAATTACTTGGCGCTTATTGACCTCCAGGGTCAGTTTTTTTTTTTTTTGAGTCGGAGTCTCACTCTGTCGCTCAGGCTGGAGTGCAGTGGCCGCTCCCGGCCACCGCAGCCTCGACCTGCTGGGCTCCGGTGATCCTTCCGCCTCAGCCTTCTGAGTAGCCGGAATTACAGGCATGTGCTACCATGCCCGGCTGATTTTTTGATTTATTGTAGAGATGAGGTCTCGCTGCCCAGGCGGGTCTCGAACCCGCTGGCTCAGGCAATCCACTCACCTCAGCCTCCCAAAGGCACGGGATTACAGGCTGAGCCACTGAGCCCGGCTTAGGGTCAGTTTTGAGGAGAGGGGTGATGATATGTATGTGTCTGTGTTTATGTATATCACTGCCACAAGCAGAGTCAAGAGACAGCTAGTAAACCAGGAGAAAGTGTTGACAATTTACGTTTAAGACTAAAGGGTTCATACAAACTGGTAAGACTAACAACCAATTTTTAAAAAGAACAGGCCAGGCACTTTGGCTCATGCCTGTAATCTCAGCACTTTGGGAGGCTGAGATGGCAGGATTGCCTGAGCCCAGGAGTTCAAGACCAGCCTGGACAACATAGTAAAGCCTTGTTTTTTACAAAAAACCAGTCAGTCTGAGTGACAGTGAGACCTTCCCCCCGAAACTCACATACATACATACAACTAAAAAGAACAAATAATAGAATCAGTCTATTTTCAGGAAAAAAGTACCTATGGCTTTAATTATTATTATTATTTTTGAGTTGGAGTCTTACTCTGTTCAGGCTAGAGTGTAGTGGCACACTCACAGCCACTGCAGCCTCGACCTGCTGGGCTCCGGCGATCCTTCCGCCTCAGCCTTCCAAGTAGCTGGAACTACAGGCTCGCACTACCATGCCTGACTGATTTTTTTTTTTTTTTTTTTTATTGTAGAGATGAGGTTTCACCAAATTGGTATCGAACCCCAGAGCTCAGGCACTCCTCCCAAAGTGCTGGGATTACAGGCTTGAGCAACCATGCCTGGCCACTTGCGGCTTTTAAAAATGTGAAAAGACTCCTCCCAAAGAAATGCAAATCACAACTATACTTGAAACATTTTCATTCATCAGATTGGCAGTAATCCCAAAGTTTAGTGACATACAGTGTAGATTGTGAGGAAAGGCATTTCTTACATTGCTCTGGAAGACAATTGGACAGTGTTTATTAATACATTTAACCTCATCTCTACAATAAATCAAAAAGTTAGCCAGGCGTGGTGGCATGCACCAGTAGTGGAATGATCGCATGAGCCCAGCAGGTCGAGGCTGTAGTAGTTGGGAGGGTGCCATCACACTCCAGCCTGGGCGGCAGCAATGAAACTCCAACTCAAATAAGTAAATATATAAAGAAGTAAGTAAGTAAATACATAAATATATATTATAAATATACATACCCCCAACCCAACACTTACGTGAATTTATGCTTATATGTACATATGTATTTTCTTGAATAAAAGATATCAGGAAGGATACACAATAAAGCAGTGGACACCTATTTAGCTATTTGAGTGTAGGTAGCAAAGATCTGGGCAGATGGTAGATGGGTTGGGAGGGACAAAACATTAAAAATAAAGTTTATTAAAATTTACTAGAGTTTGAATGATAGGTATTACATCTAACACTTGATCTTTGCTAAATCTACATTTATTTTTCTTATTATGTATTAATGCAAGTTCATTTTTGTATTATAAAATCTACAGTGATATGGTATTTGTATTTTTGGGGGCATTATTTATATTAAGTGTTTATTTTGCAGAGTTCCTTTGTATTAAAGACTGCAGTGATTTAATGGAAAGAAATTTATATTATTTTAACACTGTATTAAATGGTTTATTAACAATATGAAGTACAGTCCTTCAAGTCTTGTGTTATCTCCTCCTCTGACTCCGCTTTTATTTTTACCCCATTTCTTTAGAAAGGTGCCAAATTCCTTAGTGATGCTGAGATCATCCAGTTAGTTAATGCTAAGCATATTCCAGCTTACAAATTGGAAACACTGATGGAAACCCACGAGCGAGGGGTGTCTATTCGTCGACAGCTGCTTTCCAAAAAGCTTTCAGAACCTTCTTCTCTCCAGTACTTGCCATACAGAGATTATAATTACTCTTTGGTATGTGATTTTCTTGATTAGAGAGGTTAGCTTTTTATCTTTTTAATCTTTTTCTTCTTGACTAGGTATTTTAAAATATGTATATCATTTTATAAAACATTTTCCTTTTAAAATCTATTAACTAAAATTTTTCATTTTGCTTATGATGTAGGTCATAGAAGTTAAAAATATTTTCCCTGGTTTTATAATCATTACTTAGAGTAATCTTTAAAGAGTAAATTTAAAAGTTTTAAAGATTACATAGTAAAGGATTGTTTGAAGATAATTATTAAAGATGACGAGCTGAGATGTGTTGCTATGCAATTACAATGTAGATTTTCACCTGATACCTGACTTTACCTTTTAGGTGATGGGAGCTTGTTGTGAGAATGTTATTGGATATATGCCCATCCCTGTTGGAGTGGCAGGACCTCTGTGCTTGGATGGAAAAGAATTTCAGGTTCCAATGGCAACAACAGAAGGCTGCCTTGTGGCCAGCACCAACAGAGGCTGCAGAGCAATAGGTGTAAGTTGGCATTTGTATATTTACCTGTTTTAAAATATGCCCTAGGCAAGACAGCAAGAAGAACTTTAGGGACAGTCAAGGACACCTTTTGGGTCAAGCAGAAGTATTTCCAGGATTGATATGTGCTTCCGTATTATACTCTCTGTAGCTTGGCGGAGGTGCCAGCAGCCGAATCCTTGCAGATGGGATGACTCGAGGCCCAGTGGTGCGTCTGCCACGTGCCTGTGACTCTGCAGAAGTGAAGGCCTGGCTCGAAACACCTGAAGGATTCACAGTGATAAAGGAGGCATTTGACAGCACCAGCAGGTGGGGGGTGTGTGAGTGGGTTTGTGTGTACATTTACGTTTATTTCAGAACCAGTGCCATTTTCTGCAATTGTTAGATGTAATTGTTAACATATTGCCTGTTTAAAAGAATAGAGTATCAACCTTAAGTTCATGCATTCAAAATGAGTAATATTTCTGCTTGTCTGGAGGAAAAAAGAATGTTGACTCAAAGGAATTCCTCGATAAAGGTAAATTAGTAAAATTAAAAGAAAGTATGAGCTAATAAATTTGATTAGACTTACTTTGCCTTAGGGGAGGGTTGTCTTAGAAAAAAAATACTTTCCAACGGGTTAGAAGTATTACTGTAATAGATTTACTTTACACAGAAAGTTAAATTTACAAAGAAGCATAATCAATACAAATGATAACTCCAATATAGTTCAAGCTTATATATATATATATGTATGTATATTATATATATTTGAATTGGAATCTCACTCCTTCTCCCAGGCTGGAGTGCAGTGGCACACTCATGGCCACCCTAGTGTCGACCCACTGGGCTCCGGTGATCTTTTTGCCTCAGCCTTCCAAGTAGCTGGAACTAACTACAGGTGCGCACTACCACGCCTGGCTAATGTAGAGACTAGGTCTCACCAACTTGCCTGGGTTGGTCTCGAACCTGCAGGCTCAGACAGTCCATTCACCTCGGCCTAATATGTTTGATTTTATGTGAACTTTTAAAGTTTATTAAGGGCCGGGCGTGGTGGCTCAGCCTGTAATCGCAGCACTTTGGGAGGCTGAGATGAGAGGATCACCTGAGCCCGGGGATTCAAGACCAGCCTGGGCAACTTGGTGAGATCTCGTCTCTACAGTAAATCACAAAAACAGTAGCTGGGTGTGGTGGCATGCGCCTGTAGTTCCAGCTACTTGGAAGGCTGAGGCGGAAGGATCGCCTGAGGCCAGGAGGTCAAGGCTGCGGTGGCCATAAGCGTGCCACTGCACTCCAGCTTGGGTGACAAGAGTGAGACTCCAACTCAAAAGTTAAAGAAATAAATAAAAATAAAGTTTATTAAGATGTAATTGTCTATAGCTTTTTCTTACAGTGCCTAAGAATAAAACAATTGAAATGGTATCTCTAATATGTTTAGTTAAAAAAGAAAATGAGTAATCTCCATGAGCTTCCACTTAGGCATGAAATGAAATGACCTAGATTAAGACAACTTCCATCTTCTTAAAAAGAGTGAAATAAATATTTGCATGTTTTGTTTACAGATTTGCACGTCTACAGAAGCTTCATACAAGTATAGCCGGACGCAACCTTTACATCCGTTTCCAGTCCAGGTCAGGGGATGCCATGGGGATGAACATGATTTCAAAGGTGAGTGTGGAGAGACTGCTTCTGAAAGGGTAGACGTGCCTTGCAAAAGGATGTCCCAGGAGAGAGGGACCGGGTGACTGGGAGACTCATTTTTTAGCTATGTACCCTGTGCGTATGTTGTGCATTCAAAAGGTGAACTGATTGAAAAATACTTTTCCTGAAAGGTAAGTATTGATTGATGCAACTCATGTTAAATAAATCAGGCTTTTGTTGATTTGTATTGTTTATATTTGATGTATTTAATTTGGACTTGGTACTGTACATTCTAGGTTTACTGAAAAGGAATGGGAAGAATCTTAGGGTTAACACTTCAAAACTTTGTTCAGTCAACCTTGCAGCTGACTTCTTACAGACACTTTGAGATTTGTCTTTAAGTACCCAAATATAATTTCAGTACTTTGGGAAACTGAGGAGGGAGGACTGCTTGAGGCTGAGGCCAGGAGTTCGTGACTAGCTTAGGCAACATAGAGAGACTGCATCTCTTAAAAAAAAAAAGAAAAAAAAAATTTAAATTAGCTGGGCATAATGACATGTACCTTATAGTCCTAACTACTCTGGAGGCTGAGGTGAGAAGGATGGAAGTTTGAATCTGAGAGCTCGAGGCTAGCCCGTGTGACATAGAGAGACCCTCATTCTAAAAATAAATAAATGTCTTTAGACTTAGAATTTTTTTTTTTTTTTTTTTTTGAGTTGGAGTCTCACTCGGTTGCCCAGACTGGAGTGCAGTGGCCGCTCCTGGCCACCGCAGCCTCTACCTGCTGGGCTCCGGCGATCCTTCCGCCTCAGCCTTCCAGCTGGAACTACAGGTGCGTGCTACCACGCCCGGCTCATTTTTGATTTATTGTAGAGATGAGGTCTCACCAAGTTACCCAGGTGGGTCTCAAACCTGCAGTCTCAGGCAATTCACTCACCTCAGCCTCCCAAGGTGCGGGATTATAGGCTGAGCCACCAAGCCCGGCTGGCTTAGAATATTTTTGACTCATTAGGAGTTACAACCTAATAAAGCATTAAGAGTCAAGGAGCAGCTGTATAAGCTTTAAAAATTGCCAAAAAACAGTATGATAGTTCTGGAACAACTTAAAAATAGAATTGCCACATGATCTAGCAACTTCACTTCTGGGTGTATACCCAAAAGAATTAAAAGTAGGATCTCCTGTTCTTTTTTTTTTGAGTTGGAGTCTCACTCTGGCGCCCAGACTGGAGTACAGTGGCTGCTCTCAGCCACCGCAGCCTCTACTTGCTGGGCTCCAGCGATCCTTCCGCCTCAGCCTTCCAAGTAACTGGAACTACAGGCGTGTGCTACCACGCCCGGCTCATTTTTGATTTATTGTAGAGATGAGGTCTCACCAAGTTGCCCAGGTGGGCCTCGGCCTCCCAAGGCGTGGTATTACAGGCTGAGCCACCGAGCCCGGCTAAAAGCAGGATCTCAAAGAGATATTTGTACACCCATGCTTGTAGCAGCATTTTTCATAATGGCCAAGAGGTGGAAGCAACCTAAGTGTCCATGGATGGATAAATGAACAAACAATAAGATGTATAAACATAATGAAATTATTCAGCTTTAAGAAGCCAGGAAGGTGGGTGCGGTGGCTCATGCCTGTAATCCCAGCATTTTGGGAGACTGAGGCGAAAGGATTGCCTTAGCCAACATAGATAAACTTGAATAAACCTTGAGGACATTATGCTAAATGAAATAAATCAGTCACAAGAAGGCAAATTGTAGCCAGGTGCGATGGCTCAAGGCTGTAATCCCAGCACTGTGGGAGGCCAAGGCGAGAGGATTGCCAAAGCCCAGGGGTTTGAGACCAGTCTGGGCAATGTGGCGAGATCTTGTCTCTACAATAAATCAAAAAATTAGCTGGGTGTGGTAGTGCGTGCCTGTAGTTCCAGCTACTTGGAAGGCTGAGGTGGAAGGATTGCCTGAGCCGAGCTAGTGGATGCTGTGGTGGCTGTGAGCTTGCCACTGCATTCCAGCCTTGGCGGTGGAGTGAGACTCCAAGTCAACAAAAAAAAAAAAGGCAAATGTATATGATTCCACTTGTGTGACATATCTAGAGTAGTCAGATTCATAGAGAGAGATGATAGAATGGTGGTTATTGGGCTGGGGAGGCAAGGAAGGGGTGTTGTTATTTAAGCAGTTGGAGTTTTAGTTTTGTAAGATGAAGAGTTCTGGAGATTAATTGTACAGCAATGTGACTATACTTACCACTGTAAATTTAAAATAGGTAAGATGATAAATTTTATGTGACATATTTTACCACAGTTTAAACATTTTTTAAAAACCGCCAATAACTATGTTTTGGGTTATTGGGGTATGAGTTACTTGAATTGCTTTTATAAGGCTTATTATAAATAAATATCAAGCCCAATGACTTTCAACAAGATTGACTTTACTGACCCACTTCTCTACAGACATTGTTACTTGGGCTTCTAGGTAATAGTTCAATAACTAAAGATGGAACTTATTACATGTTTATTGTGGGTTGAGTTACTCCCCAGTGACACATAAATAAGAACATTTCTTACCTTCTTATTATGTTTAGCGTTCTCACTTTAAAAATCTGCATCCCAGTAGTGAGAAACTGAGGGGGTGGGGTGGGGGGCGGGATTGGTAGTAGTGGGAATCTTTAGAGGGAGGGGCCCACCTCATCAACAAGGGTGCCTGCATAATAAACATTTGTATACTTAACCCTGAACTGTACCCCACATCTTTCAAATAAAAAATTTTAAGTAAAAAAAAAATCTGCATCCTATTCAATAATGATGAGAGAACTTTGTTTTTAATAGCTGGAAAGAAACACATTTAGGAATCTATACCTGACTAAGAAATTAGTCATTGTGATGGATAATAAAACAGGTACTCCTTCTGTGCTCAGTTTCTTGGAAGTGTAGTTACTGTACTTAGAAATATATCCTAGGTACACATAAATTCTTGTGACCTGTAAGGGTGACTGCGTCACTCATTGTAATGTTTTTGTTGTCGCTGTCTGTAGGGCACAGAGAAAGCTCTCTCAAAACTCCAGGAGTACTTCCCTGACATGCAGATCCTAGCCGTTAGTGGCAACTATTGTACTGACAAGAAGCCTGCTGCCATAAACTGGATCGAGGGAAGAGGAAAGTCTGTGGTGTGTGAAGCCGTCATTCCGGCCAAGGTTGTCCGAGAGGTGAGCGACGGCGTGACGGTTCTGTCCTTTTTGTGTTTAAGCTTCAGGTGGACTAAATAAAACGTTGGGGAAAGGCGTATTCGCGTTTCAGTCAAGTGAAATCGGGGGCTCCGTCTTCCATTCCAGACGCCTGCTGCTGTACCTTGCCCTGTGTGTGGCATTCACGGGAGCAGACTCTGCCGACCTTCTTTTTACTGGGGACGGGCTTTCCTGGGGTCCCATCTGCACTCCCTTGTGTTCTGGAAGTGCAGAAAGCTAGTCTGGGCTGTGACCCAGATGCATCCTGAGTCTTCTGGAGGAAAGCGTACACGGCACACACCTCTTTCCAGGTCCTGAAAACGACGACAGAAGCGATGGTTGAGGTGAACATCAGCAAGAATCTGGTGGGCTCTGCCATGGCTGGGAGCATCGGGGGCTACAACGCACACGCGGCCAACGTCGTCACGGCCATCTACATCGCCTGCGGACAGGTGTGCGCTCCAGCCTCCGCGCGCTGCTCCATGCTGTTGGGAGTAGGGGAAAGATACCATCTGTGTGTTCTTGTTTGCAGGATGCAGCCCAGAATGTTGGCAGTTCAAACTGTATTACTTTAATGGAAGCATGTGGTCCCGCGAATGAAGATTTGTATATCAGCTGTACCATGCCATCGATAGAAATCGGAACTGTGGGTGGTGGAACCAACCTGCTACCTCAGCAAGCCTGTTTGCAGGTATGACACAGTGGGGCGGAGTCTAGCGACCTCAAGCCCAGTTCTGGTTTCCTGGTCCGTCTCTCTTTCCACCTGCCACCATGTGTCACTCACTGCTGTATTCCAGTTGGTCTTTTCCTGCCAGCCTAACCCATATGTCCAGAGATGCATGTTCAGGCGTGTGCTTTATTAAGAAAGTAATTTCGGAGAGCAGATGGCACTGTCAGGCAGGCTGGGGGTGTTGTGCCAGCTGTGGCCTGTGCATTTGTCGTCCTGGCTGTCATGTCCTCGAAATGTAGGACTTTCAGTGAGTCTGTTTCTGTTCTGATGCCAGTGCAGTTCTCTGCATTTAGTCGACTGATAGGTGGTTGCTCATGGGCTGTAAGGGCGAGTGTCTTGCTGCGTTTCTGCCACAGATGCTGGGTGTTCAAGGAGCCTGCAGAGACAGCCCGGGGGAAAATGCCCGGCAGCTTGCCCGCATCGTATGTGGGACAGTCATGGCAGGGGAGTTGTCACTTATGGCCGCACTGGCAGCAGGACATCTCGTCAAAAGTCACATGATTCACAACAGGTAAGACTTGAAGATGTGTTTGATACATTTCCCCGATATTTTAAAAAATGTGCAGGCTGGGCTCGGGGGCTCAGCCTGTAATCCCAGCATTCTGGGAGGCCGAGGTGAGTGGATTGCCTGAGCCCGCAGGTTCGAGACCTACCTGGGCAACTTGGCGAAACCTCATCTCTACAATCAATCAAAAATCAGCTGGGCGTGGTAGCGCCCGCCTGTAGTTCCGGCCACTTGGATGGCTGAGGTGGGAAGGATCACTGGAGCCCGGCAGGTAGAGGCTGCGGTGGCCGGGAGCGTGCGTGCCACTGCACTCCAGCCTGGGCGAAGAAGTGAGACTCCAACTCTAAAAAAAAAAGAAAAAAAGCAGTATAAAAGCTTGTTATCCAGATATAGTACTCCCAAGTTAAAATCCTGCATTCATGATGTTTTGTATATTGCTACTTTGTCTATTTCTGTCATAGGTCAAAGATAAATTTACAAGACCTTGGAACTTGCACCAAGAAGACAGCTTGAGTAGCCTGTCAGCTCTGAACTGAAACATGGGCATTGGGTTCTAAAGGACTAACACAAAATCTGTGAATTAAAAGCCTCAATGCAGTGTCTTGGTGAGGATGAATAGACGTGATCAGTGAGACGACCACTGGGGTTTGGCTCTTTCAGAGAAGTCTGAGGTGCTTTCCACATGGACTCCTCAGATCTGAAAGCAGCACTTACATGCTGTGCTCTTTGGAAAGACTTCAACATGGATGTTACACATTAAAACATCACTGATGATAATCTACAGCTCACCTCTGAAAGCACACACAAGCTGGGAACAAAGCGTTTTGGGGAAATTCATGAAGTTCTTGGTGATCAGTGTGACACTGCCCTGCCCTTTCCCCCACCCCTGCCAGTTGAAAATGGATTTTTAAATTATACGGTAGCTGACAAAACTCTTGGTTTTATAGTTAATTTATTAAGTCTGGGCTATAGAACTTTTAGAAATAATAGCTAAGTTCATTTTTTATAAATTAATACTTATTTGGTGCTGGTCTATTTTGATTTTGGGGGGTAACCAACATTATTCTTCAGAAGGGGACCTTTTTTCTTCAAGGGAAGAATCAGTCTTACTCCCAAATACAGAATAATGTGTTAAGCAGTGCTAAATAGTTCTCTGTCTGGGAAACAAATCACTGCATTTCTCTCTGCAGGCTATTTGTTCAGAGAGGCCTCTTGTCTGAATGTAAATGTCTAGATTGGCTAGAACGTGTCTGTCAGCATTAGGCTTTAAGAAACACAGGGTTTTGTGCTCTTGACTGAAGCTATCAAAACTCTGAATGTTGCTTGGACAAGGGTGGCTCTCAGGTACAAGCAAGTCTGTGACCTCCAGAACTCACAGTTTTGAAAGAAAAATACTTCTCTAAGCCAACTTTAATTTCTTAAAAGAGATTTTAATTTATTTAGCTGAAAAGTACTTCTTTTGTAAGCAACTGTATCAAATCTGTATATTTGTAATAAAGTAAAGCTTCTTATGCTAGGAGTTTATTGGAAGTGTTGAAGAAATAAAGAAAAATCAACTTGTAAGTGATTAATACTCTAGCTTGGGCCAGAGGAGATACTGTTCTTCCATGTTGTCCAGGAAACCCTGGCTTGCCTGCCAAGCCTGGTGATGGGGACATCAGCTTGCAGAGCCAATGACGGAGCCAGGGGAATGGCCGGCAGCTTGCGCCTGTTTGTTCCTGGCCAGGAGGGTGGCAGCTGAGACATTCACACGAGGCTCGTTGATGAACCCATAAAAGCTCTTGGCTTCCTCAGGGGGTCAGCAGAGTTGTCGAATCTTAATTTTGTTTGATGTACAAGTTTTGTATAAATAATAAAGAACACCTTATTTTGTATTACATCTAACGTTTCAAGTGTTGGTCTTGGAAAACTGATGTCTCACGTGGAAGATGGACTCTGAAACATTCCCGTCAGCCGTGGCTGCATGGAGAGCCTCGTGATTGTGTCTGCAGTGGCTTTCTGGAAGCTTTATCTTCTCTGTTGTACGTGATGCTTAAATGGTTCTGTTGCGACTCTTCAGCCAGTGACTCTACTCATCTGAGCTTTGAATGTGAAACGTCAGTGAAAAGTATGTCGAGTGTTCATTTCGGTGACTGTAACCAATATCCTCTTGCTAAAGTAATGTTTTGTACAGTTGCTACAGTGTGCGTTTTGTTACATTCTTTTCTAGGTCAAGGAAGTCCTGAAGAAAGTGAATATTGATAAATGTTTAGAATCTCTTTGAAAGTTTGGTTAACCCCAGGCCTGAGCCAGGAAGCTGGTGCAGTCGGGCCAGAGTGGCACTCGCGCTGGGCGCCACACGACCCTTTCTGATTCTCCAGCTCCGCAGCATTGACGGCAGGCTGGCATTGTGCATGCATTAAAACGGCCTTTGTCACACTTAGGAGGGCGTGATGAGCTCAGATTTACCGTCTCGGTTCGGCTGCTGCTGTGCACGTGGAGCGGGGCCGGCGAAGGAGCGGAGGGGGTTGAGGGTTAGGGCCGCCATACCCATGGCCTGGGCCGGTGTGGTCAAGCCCCAGGCCCCCTACTAGGAATGCACCCGACTGACGCGGCTGGCGGTGGCAGCTGCATCACTGCCGCCTTTCCACTTGCTTCCAGACGTCCTGGCTTGAAATGGACGGTGCTACCGTGTGTACTCGCTACAGTACCGTCAAGTACACAGAAGCACAACCACTGGCGCCGGGCGCATGCGTGCGACGACGCACGGCAGACACTTGAACTCATGGTGGCTGGGTGTGGGGATGCACATTGCATCGTGGTGGCTTGCAACTCGGAAGTTCGTGTCAGCGGGCACGGAGGGGAGTTTCTCCGGCTTCACGCAGCGCCGGTCGGCTCTTCGAAGGGGTGACGTCCT